TAAAAAAATAAAAATAGCTGATTATAGAAGTGGTGTAGAATGCCTGGTGAATAATCCCATCTGAAAGCCCTGGTCAACTACTTTCTAACGGTACTAGAATCACAAGAATCCATCCAGCAGTTACTGAGACATGGCCCAATCATTCCCTAAAACGAACTGTGTCTTCGAAAGTATTTTGCCTTTTTCGGCCCAACCAATGAGCTGATCATCATAGTCAATTGGTCAACATTGTAGTGCTCAATGAGGGCTACAACTTTCATTTTTTTTTAATGGATTTCCATTTTTGGTGGATGCCATCTACTAACCTATTTGTGCCTTAGACAATTTTTTCGCAATTATTCATAATTTTTCTGTGAGTTTCGGAGTCCAAATGATACTTTTTTGAAGGAGTCGGGGGATCGGGAGGCAGGCGGTCACTAATATTAAGAAAAAAAAGAGTCAAGGACAAAAAAAAAAAAAAAAAAACATGTCCAAACAACTTTGGTTCAAACCGGTTTAAACCACTGATGGTTCCAACCGGCTTAAACCATTGATGGTTCCAACTGGTCAATGGTTTAAACCGGCTGGAACCATCAGTGGTTCCAACCGGTTTAAACCATTCACAGTTCCAAACGGGTTCAAACTGCACAGCTCGAGGCAAGTCCTATAGGAGGAACAGTCACGGTTTGAACCAGTTTAAACCCAGGGGTCTCGTAGGACACGATGCGGTTTAAACCGGAACCCTGCTAGGGTACACAAGGGTGAATTATTGCAAAGTCGATCTGTCTACATTCTTCTTCCAATAGAGGGTGAGTCTTTGCTTTGACCGACGCATCTGCACTGCCCGACCCGTTCGTACTCTTGAAATACAGTATTTCAGTGGTTTCCCTACTCTTTAATTGGTACGCCACTCTGAATCACACAACACTCCTGGTGAACAGGCACTAGGGAAATACCCAAATTATTTCAGGAATTTTGGAACAATTTTTTTTCGGACGACTTTATCTTGCGGGAAATTCTGTATCTTGCGGGCGACGCGTTGTATCTTGCGGGACATACCTATATATATCTTGCGGGAATCAGTGATTTCCCCGCAAGACAAACGGCTTGATTATCAGCGGTCAATCTTGCGGCGATACCATCAAATCACCTCTCTATCTTGCGGGATGGCCGAAATCGGCTCTTTATCTTGCGGCCGAATAAAAGTGCATCCGGACCGCCATACATCCTATCTATTATTTGCGACAGTGAAGTGAATGTCACGGCACGGACTTCTGAATACAATTGAGCGACATCTTGGAAGGTCGTATTAACTTATTTGTGACCGAGTCAAGTTGTGATTTCTCCGCATTTGAGCTGTTCAACATCAACTTCCGCAGAGTGATTTCCTGGGTTATCGCAAATTTAGTCAATCGTGTCTTCGAGTACTTACAAATATTCGATCGAGCGAACAAACCCCAGGGCGATTCAATGCTCGTAGATGTGCTGAGCCTTTGCAGCGTGATACTGGGCAGATCCCTTCCGGCAATTGATAAGTGCCAGTCACTGGAAGAAGTGGGTTCGACTCCCACCGAAGGCATGTTGGGTGTTCATGATGGAGTCTTTTTACTGCTGCGCGTCTTTTTGCTTCTGCCGCGAATGCATATGGAGGTCGGCTGCACACAGTCGCTATCCCTTGGCGTGACTTTCGATCTCCTCTTGTACTTATTGCCCACCTAGAGCATCTAACACGAGAGCCTTCGCGATAACGAATTGTAATTGCGCACGCTTCAGTTATGTGGGATCCGGCTTTTTTCTTTTTCTTCTTTCTTTTTACGCGCCCCCGAAATCCCTCCCTTCACTGCCCAGCATGAGCACTAGCAGATGAAGCTGACCTTTCACCGTCCGTAACTCAGCCAAGCAACCCTTCTTCGTGCATCGTATGCTATTATTTTTCATTACACTTTCCACTATCAATCCATCCGTCTTGTCTTCAATACTACTGCCAATGCCGCGCGCAATCGAGGAAGTCCCGTATCGATCGCACAAGGAACGGTTCGCGTCCATGAACGACTCGTGTATAGCAGTCTCATGATATATAGTAATATTATATACCCTCTCACGAATAAAGTACACCACAGTTAGTTAGTTGTTTCCTCCAATGCTTTCTTCCATTACCCCTGTCCTCCCACTAGTCGCGAGAATCCACAATTCCCACCTACTCACAAGGCTGGCGTCCCCATCCCCTATGTCCCCTCCGGCGGAGCCACATACGGCGGCGGCACCCCCAGGTCCCGGTCCGGGTCGAGTGGCACCCCGAGCTGGGCCACGTGCGCCTCGAGCTGGGCCAGTCTGTTTTCCAGCACGCGCTCGCGTGTGCTCGTACCTAACAACGCTTTGTAAGTCTTTAAGCCGCATACTGCATACATAACAAGGGGACTTTGCGCACCTGCGTCCGTTGGCGGAGGCGATCGCGAGGACAAGGAAACGTCCGCGGGCGCAGATACCGAAGACGCCACGGGCACACTCGACACGTCGGTCGTGGACCGCGTCCCGTCTGTTCGCGTCCCAGCGGTGGCAGACGGCGCGGAGGGAGCAGGCAGAGAGGGTGCGGCGGCGGGGTTGAGCCAGGATACGTCGACTAAAACCATAGTGCGGGGATTCAGTGAGATTCGGAATGAGGATATGAGGACGGAGGTCGGATTAAAATTGAAGGAAGATGGAATGGAAATTGGGACGATAAGCGAAAGGGAAAGGACACCGAAAACCGAAAAGGGAAGAACCGGAAAATGGAGTGGGGTAGATCGCGAGAAGAGTCAGCGTGAAGACAAAGGGGGGTCTGGAGCGCGCGCACATCGTGCGCGTGGTCGGTAAAAAGGGAAGGGAGGGAAGATACATGGAACGGAGGGTGATATCGCGGGGAGAGTTCGCGTGAGAGGAGGAAAGATGAACAATGGACCAAGGAAAGAGGAGGGGGAACGCGCGCACCAGGGGAGGGTGGATTATGCGGGTGGTCAGAGCGAAGAGTGATGGGAGAGAGCGAAGGGAGATATGTAGGGGAAGGAAGAAGATGGTGGCCGCGAAGATTCGGAGGGAAGAGGATGAAGCATGCAGGTAGGTGAGAGAATTTGGGAGTGTCCATGACGGCGAACGAGGAGAGGACGAAAGGACGAAACCAAAAGAGAAGAAAAAGAAAAAGTAGACGGGACGAAGAAACGCACGAGTTTTCTCTCCAGTCGCACTCGAGGGTCCCGTCCTCTCCGACCGGGAGACTGTGCCATGAACGGCTGCACGCCCGGCGCACTTCCTCCTCTCCTAGCTGTCTCTCCTTCTCGCGTTGCAGCTGACGGTGACGATGAGCGTCGCCGTCGATTGAGGAATATAAGCCCGAGAACGATGAGAGTGACTAAAGCTAGTCCGCCTATGACGCCGCCGACGATGGGGCCTATTTTTGATTTAGACTTGGACTTTGTGGAGGTAGGCGCGCTGCAGGAGCGTCAGTCGATACGCGAGCGAGACACCCCATGCCGAAGGACTCACGCAGTGGTGGAGGATGAAGATCCGGTACCACTGAATCACATTAGCCCAAAAAGTACCAAGAAAAAAAGAGGGGCTGACGCACGACGGCGCTACAGTGCTCTCGTCCACTGTAATAATCGCATAATCAAACAACCCCGTGCTCCCGTTCGTCTTCGTCGTATGCAATACCCACTGCACCGTGTGGTTCGCATTGGCAGAAAGACCTGCCGCGCTGAAGAACAGCGAGCGAAAGAGAAACTGCGCGGAGCCCGCATAATAGTGGAATCCCGCCGCGGCGCCGTCTAGCGTGAAGGAGATGTTGGCGGGGTTGGCGAGGTCAATGCCATAGATGTACACCGCCGAGCCTACGTTCGAATCGATCGATCGATCGATCGTCAGATATCGCGCAAAAAAGCGGGGGAAAGCGGAGGAAAGCACGCACCTTGGAACGCAAACGACCCAGCGCTGTTATTGCTGCCATCATGCCACGTCTGGTTCTGAATATCTGCGGTTTGCGGCTGCGCGGAACAGTACAAACAAGGCGTCGCAGGTGAGATTGCGGCCCAGGGACGCGTGGGTGCGGGCGAGCCTGTGTCCTCGGTCCAGGTGAAGTATGAGAGATCGGAGTCGTCGATGGTGAGGTTGGTGAGGGCTGCACGGGCGGTGGAAAGCGCAAGGAGCGTGCAGATGAGAAGATGAGGGACGAGCGGACGCAGACGCGGCGCCGCCATCGTGGCGAGAGCGAAAAGACCGGAGCGAAAAGACCGACGTGACGAGATGGTGAGATGTTGAATGCAAAAATGACTGATCAGCACGGGATGATCCGCGATGGTTGCTCGTGGCAGGCGTTTCAAAATATTTACAGACCAAAAGCGCAGTTCTACTCGTATTCTTAATCGTCGAGGACCTACTTCAGACCCATCCCCTTACGCAGCAGCGTCAGCGAAATTTTTGCGGTCAAGCTGCACAGATTTGCTTCCGGATCGGACCGATCCGTGGAACAATCTAAACCAAACTCGGAAGTTTGAACCGCCGGATCACGATGGGCGCACATTATGGGAATTTGCAGGACAATTGGGGGTGTCGAGCGGTTGAATTGCGTACCAATAACAATAATGGCCCATATCTCCGTTTAACTTTTCATACGCCCGTGGCCACGATCTGGGGTAAGGCAAGGGTAAGGAGTACGATGAAATTTAATTAGCCCATACGGGGTTCACGTTCAGCCAGTCGCATCTGCAAATTGGCCAATGCGGTCCGAGTGACTGTCTATACACTCACGAATTGGACGTGACTTGAGTAAAAGAAAAGAAAAGCGACAGCAAATGGACATCGCGGGTGAGAAATTGAAATAATGACAATGTGGATCGCTCAGGACTGGTCATCTGCGTGTTGTTGGCGGAAGGGAGTCTTGGACTTGACAGAATCTTTACATCGGAAGAATCAGGTATCGGGCGTGCTAGGTGGCCATGGAAGAAATATGCCTGCGTGAAAAAAAAAAAAAAATGGACCGCCAAAGAGCATGCCTTCGGTGGGAGTCGAACCCACGTCTCTTCCACAGAAATGCGAATCTAGCGTATGGATCGGAAGCAATCTACCTTGATCTACGAAGGCTTGAAACCAAACCCCTCGAACTCAAATACATACTGTAGTCGTCTCTAAATGACATTCGCGCCCGTAACCAGTAGATGCGAGAAGTCTACCGCTATACATTTACAAAAAAATGGATCTGCAATATATTGGCACCCACGCTAACGTCGCGTAGCCGAAGTCAACACCAAAGAGAAGGACAAAAAAACTCTCTCATCGAACGAATTATGCCTTCGGTGGGATTCGAACCCACATCTCTCACACGGAACCCTTCAAGATCTCAATTATGAATCGGAAGTGATCTATCTTTGATCTACGAAAGCTTTGCCAGAACCCCTTGAACCCAAATATGTAGTCGTCCCTGGATAATATCTACGCATGGATGGCAGATGCGAGAATCCTACCGCGATACAAAAATGGATTTGCAGTAAATTGTGTTACCAGCACCTACATACATTGTATTGTGGTTACAGTAATGAAAAGACAACACAAAAACGTCACCGACATGAGTCAGGCCTTTGGCAGGATTCGAACTCACATCTCCTCCACATACCCCATTATCTTTCCCCAACCATGGATCGGAAGTGATCTATCTTGATCTACGAAGGCTTCGCTGGGACCCTTCGACTCAAATATGTAGTCGTTCGTGAGAAAATTCTGCAAGGTGGTCAGCATAAGTGGAATGTCTCATTTAAATCTGTATCTGCAGTATATTGGCTCGCCAGTGCCGTATCTACCCCAGGTCACTGTAACCCGAAGTCAACCTCAAAAAAGGACGAGGAAAAAAAAAAACGACATAGAGCGCATCATACCTTCGGTGGGGTTTGAACCCACGCCCCGGCCACGGAACCTGTCAACATCCATGGACTGGAAGTCATCTATTTTTGATCTACGAAGGCTTCACCGGGAGCTCTTCAACTTAAATATGTAGTCGTCTCTGGAAGATATTTGGCCCATGGAGTGGACAGCAGATGCGAGAAGCCTACCAGGATATGTTGAAAATTGGATGCAATATTGGTTCACGAGCACCCACGTTGGAGGTTCCTGTATGTAGAATTTACTGTAGAGAGGTGGGGACGAGAGTAGGGAAAACAAGATGATGTATTCAAGAAATAACAAGGGCTTTTATACCTCGAGAACAATGGTACAAAACTAATATAAACAGAGTGCGTAGGACAATGCACTTAATAAATTAACTGGTTTCAGACCAGCTGAAACTACGCAACGCGATGGTACGCGTTTCATCATGCTGTGCATATCCATGCGCAACGTGGCGGCGTACGTGTCTGCGTACGTGTCGGCTGGAACATTCCAACACTGTAAACCGAAGTCACCACCAGAAATGAAAAGAAAGAAAAAAATATCGACCGACAAATAACGCATGCCTCCGGTGGGGTTCGAACCCACATCTCTTTCCTGAGATCCAGCTTTCACAATTATGGAACGAGAAATGATATACATTGATCTACAAAGGCTTCACTAGGAACCGTTCAACTCAAATATGTGAGCGTCTCGACACAGGATCTGGGCCTCTTGAGCGCAGATGCGAGAAGTCTACCGTGATAGATTAAAAATGTAAAGAATTGGATAATACATTGGCTCACGAGAACTGGAGGTTGCGGTCAACATCAAAAAAGAACAACAAAATGAGCAAAATGAAACAAAATGAAACAACCCCATTGAATTACGCCTTCGGTAGGATTCGAACCACAGCTTCCACGCAACCGGTTAAAGTCTCAAAACATGAATCCGAAGTGATCTACATTGATCTACGAAGACTTTGCTTCAAGTCCTTGAGCTCGAATATGAACTCGTCTCCGGATGGTATCTGGCAGGGGTCTGCCAACAAGATAGTGAGACTCTTAATTCAAGAATGTTTCATTGCGATAAAATCCACGGACCGGTAGCCGACCCACTTTCTCGAGGTCGGGCCGCACTGCCTTGGTAGCCGGTGCCATACAAGTGCCATCCAATAAACAGCTTTCGTACCGCCTTCAATTCACGCCGCACTCAAGCCGCACAACTGCGCGACAGCGGCCATATCCTGTGCACCACGTTGATGTCCTTCCTTTCGAATGCGGAGAATTTCAGCCTTGGTGAAGGTGTATACAACAATGTGCATGGCACCTGCATCGTCACGGTCCACAATCATCTATACTCAGCCAAGCGGCAGCGGGAGCTATCGGATACGACACTCAGACGCGATCTGCGCCCTCTCGGAGTCTCGGATCGCACCGTCGCAGCAAGCCTCTTGGTCTTGTTGTGCCACCGACCTCAGCTGTGCCGGTGGATCATGCAAGGACCATGCCACCGAGTCATGTCGGACTTTGATTGTGAGGCTGAGGCCATCTGGTTCACAGGTACAAAGTCTATGAGCACCGTGAGTTGCGGCTCGTCCTGTGTGTTGTTAATGTTGGTAAGGAAGCGCAATCGACCCGACACATTTCCGGGCCACGTGAAGGACCGATCATTTTGTAGACCATTGTCCGCCCGATTAGAATATTAGTGGATTGCTTTCGATGTGCTCAGACAAGCAGAATAAGAATACATTACCAATTTAACTCAAATAATACATTCTCATAACAATCGCGGTCCCGAGCTTCGATATTTGCCACCACCCTACTTACTCTGATGGACTCCGTCAACCCTGCAACAAGCAAGTGCAGCAGCTGCAAGACGTGGCAACTTGAAGCGGCGACGAGCGAGTTCTTTACCATTAAATTGGGAAAATGTCCGGGGACCTGTCGTGTCTGCAGTCAGAAGAAAGCCGACAAGAGGAGAAAAGCAGCAGAGGCCACCACATCTGGAGAATTCTACCCCGAGAATACTATGGGATTTGTATTCAAGTAGTCAAATTAGATTGTTGGATTGATTCGGGCAATGTGCGCTGCCAGAAATCGCGAGTCCGCGAGTTTTGTCGCGTCGCAGTGAAGCAGTCGCATTTTCGATATTTTATTGGAATTGACTCCATATAAGTACTTATCTAAAAGCCTGAACCATTTCCAAGTCAACCGACGTCCTAATACTGCGGACAATGGCCATTGAGGGCCATCGGCATTTATCGGCATGGCACGTGACCCGGAAATGTGTCATTTGCACCTTGTGTAGTTGGTATATTTACTTAAATATAACTTCTGTGATTCAGCTGATTTGAATGGCCGAAACAAGATAATATTAATGGCGTTGACTTGGTCATTCAACAGAGATTGCGCGGGTTCTACATGGTTTCAGCTAGCGCAGCGGTTTAAGCCGCTCGAGCAGTCAAGCGGCTTAAACTGCTTAAGCCGTACATCGTACGCTCTGTACCCACTAATGCATTGTAACACACAATTGGAGATGGGGCTTAAGCCGCTCAAGCGGGGCTTAAACCTTGGTACGTCGCAACGTGGTTGGCTTAAGCCAACCTAAACAGGATTTATGGTCGCAGCTCTTTCGGTGAGTAGTTTTTGACCATCCCCGGGCCTTATTGACCTGTTCCAGGCGGGGATAAATCATGTCAAGGTCCAGGGTATATCGCTAGGGTCACTGGGAGAGCAGGTATACTGCTTCATATTATATCCGTCTTCAATCGGAGTTAACACACTACCTTGGAATTTTGACGTTTTCCTCGACATCAATGACCGGTTCTTCATCAGCATAAACTCAAGTTCAAGCCACAATGCTACCCCTGTTTTCCGAGAACTAGAAGAGGTGAAGTCGTAGGATATCTTCAATGCTCTATGTCGACGAGTGGGTATCTGCTATACCCATCTTCCTCTGATCTCAAGTGTTGATTTTTAGGTTTTGAAGTCTGCAAACCGTGTGCGGCATAGTATGTCCAACTTTGAGTTTCGCCCCGAACCCACCAAATTACTCATAATCTGTAGAGTGGGTGATTGAGAGAAACACCGGGATTCTGGATCATTTTCGCCAGCCTTCTATCCCTCAAAGCTCGCTGACAGTATCGTCTACGACCGGCCTCCGCTTTCATGAAGAATCGAGGTCGCCTTCGAATAGCATGGATGCTGCGTCTCCTACACCTCCCCGGCGTGAATATGTCTGGCGAACCATACACGGCGGCCAACAAGAGTCTCTGGGCACAATCGCGAAGCAAATGGCACAGGATCTTGAGGCCCAATCGTCGACGCTCAATAGATTGGTCTGGACGGATACCCGAAATGCGCATCGCTGTGTAGGATACGCGCGCGAAGAAATCACCCTTGCGACCACAACCGTCGATAGCGCAACCGTTTCTCACAGCGCACCCAGCCCGACAGAAATTTGTCCCATTTGTCACGAGGTTGTTGGGTTTCATGAGGCGTTGAGGTGTATATGTGGCGACCGAAGTGAGTGGACCCCGCGATGATGTATGGCAGCTCAACCTCGTTAGATCCTGGTTTGGGCCGTACGATCAGGTGTAGGGTATGCAAACTTTGGAGCCACGTCGATTGTGTTGGGAGTCCAGCGGAATTTATGTGTCAAATCTGTGATTGGGAGCAGCCTGTTGCTATTCGAGACTTCCTTGCTGCCCACGACGAGGTCTTCTACGCCACCTTCCCCGACGCCCGCCCATCCCAGGCTTCGGACCAGGCAGAGGCAGAGCACGCCGCTATCTACGCTCCCCCACACATCAAGGCTGTCATTTTAGCGGATCCTTACTCGCCGGAGAGCATGGTCGGCGGCGGGGAGTTCGCGTACACGGATCTGAATTCCTGGGTTTTCTTCCCCCCCGTCTCTTCCGTCTTCTCCCATACCAGCCCCTGCTCCTTCGCCAGTCCACCCTCCTCGGCGGGTACCTTTGCCAGCGCCACAAGTGCCTCCTTCGCCAGCCCGCCGTCCTCGGCGGGGGCCAATTTCAATTTGAACTCTGCGCGCGCGTACGAGGAGCTCAACCCGCCCCCGTCAGCGTACTCGGATTCCATCCCGTACGGCGACGCCGTCTTCCCCCCGATGCACTACCCGCTCGACATGGCCTCAGCTTATGTACCGCATCTGCAGTTGCAGCAGGCCCCGCTGCTCATGCACCCATACGCCCTCCAAAGTCAAGGTCAAGGTCAAGCACCTGCCCTCCTGCATGGCGTACACCCCCCGCCCGGCATGCAAGGCCCACCACTCCAGCTGCACCCCGCGCTCTACCCCGTCCCCGCGCCCACTCGACGCCGCGAGCGCCCCCGGCCTGAGGCGCGCCCCTCGCGCCCGCCCAAGAGACGTATTGGGTATTATCCGGCAAGTCCGCCGGCTAGCAAGTGAGCTTCTTCGTTGCATTCCCATTCCCATTACGTTTTTTTTTCCTCCCCTCCCATTCCCTCTCCCTCCCTCTATTTCATCATCTCATTTCGTTTCGTTTACACCTGTGCTGACCCTCCCCGCTTCTAGCCTCCTCCTACCATATGAATGCGAGACAGAGGTCGAGACCAAGGACGCCGACTCTCCCGCCCGCTCTCCCGCCGATCCCGACGCGGACTCGAATTTGCCCTGGACACAACTGGACTGATATGTTCGACTGGGACCGGCAGACCTTGACAGGTTGGATGGCCTCAGCAAGTAGCGGTAAACAACCTAGTTATTGGAATAATAAATTGGGAAGGGGCAGCAGGGAGTGGGTGTACAACTTCTTATACTCAGACGATGAATCAGGCAGTAGTTTTGCCTCAATTGAGAGTATATATTATGGGATCCAAAGATATGTTTCACTCATGGAGGCTAGGGATAGAAGGTTTCTTTTGGAATCCATTGTCACGACTAACTGCCGTCGCATATAGTGGAATATGTTTTTTGGCGACGAATCGAAACGTGAGTTCCATACACCTTGTTTTTATTCATGTCTCACCTATTACCAGTCACTCTACCGTATATTGTTCCTCCGGGTGCGCGTTGCTGCGACAATTGCAGTCCCGAGCTCTTTCCCGTCGAGACTGTACGCCTCACCGGAGGTAACCATCTAAAATCTGGTCGACGGCGGCTTGCAAAGGCTGCTGACGAATTAATCATCGAGGCTAAAGATGTACTTCAAAATCTCTGGAATACGATTGCTCAGCGGGAATTCCCTGACGCATACATTATTACCGGTAAGATTTTGATGTCGGACAAGGTTGTCAATTCACTGGCAGCACGGGGTCCGTAATATCACATCCGTCGATGCCCTCTCACAAACCGTCCGCTGGCACTGGGCTCCTGTATATGGAGCTGAAGTCGTAGAAGCCATACAAGCACTTCTTCTTCGTCATCCAGATCCAGAACACGAAGCACGAGAGGCGGAGAAACGGGAGCGTGCTTTTGTCGCACTCCAAGCTCTTGCTGTGGCGGATCTGCGCCAAAAACTGGGGGTCATTTTCGATGCCTGCCACGAGGTCAGCCAGACACGCCCCGCGTCGAAGCCCGGAAGGCCGGCGGAAAGAGTATGCCAAATATTCATGGCTCTCCCACGCAAGACAGTGAGGCAATTTCGTCTCAGTTCTTGCTTTTATTAATTCTTGTGCTTTAGGCGTGGCCCACG